ATGGCGGCGGCGGGCGCGGCCGGTCCCCGCTCCGCCGGGAAGCGCCGAGCACAGGAAGAGGGAGGAGACCTGCGGGAGGGGCGGGAGGGCACCGGCACCGGGACCGCCACGAGCCTCGGCGGGACCTGAGACCCCCGCACCTCCGCACCGAGGGGCTGTGGCCCCACACCCCCCCCGTATCGGCCCTCACCCACTCGCGACTACACTCTTGCTCCATATCTCCCCACTCGTGCCTCCACTCACGACCCCACTCTTACCCCGTATTCCCCTCCCCCCCTCCCCGGTGATTCCACGCCCGCCCCATCTGCTCCCACACCTGTCCCATTCAGCCCCGCTCACTCGTGCCCTCCCTGCCCCATCTCTGACACCCGTCCCTGCTCCTGCCCTCTTCAGGTTCCCCCTCGCTGCCCTTCCAAGCTCCCCCGCCCATCCCCGCGGGTTTCCCGCACCGGGGCATCCCCGGTCCCGTGTCCGCGCCGTGGGCGGGTGCGCCGGGGCCGGGCCGGTGGTCCCGGGATGCACCTGTACCCCCCGATTCGAGCCCCGGTCCTCGTCCCGGGGTCCAAGCCCGCGGCCGGTCCCGGGCTGTGCCCGTTCCTGCTCGCCGGTACCGGCCCGAGGACGGGAACCGTGGCTGGGAAAGGGGTGATTGGCGGGGGGCGCTGCTCGGGGGGTCCCACGCGGGGACCGGACGGGCCAATTGCTCGGAGGGACCGCACCGGGCAGGGCCACACCGGAGCCGCCAGGGGGCGCTGCCGCACTGCCGGTGCCACCGGGGCGCACCGGGCGATGCGGGGCCGGGGCTGCCGCTGCGGGGGATGCGGGGCCGGGGCTGAGGCAGGGACGCCACCGGAACCCCGGGGGCCGCAGCCCCGCGGGAGGCGTCCCCGCGTTCCCCCCCGCTCCTCCCGTCGCGGCGCCGCTGAACTCTCCGCGCTGCCGTTCCGAGCATCAATCGCGCCCGGCGGCCCCGTGAGCGCGACTCGGCCACTCCGCACCGGGACTCCCCGGGAGGCCGGGTCCCCGCCGGGGCGCTTCGGGACCGGGAAGGGGCTTTCCGGCCCCGCCAACCTCCAGTCCAGAGCGGTGCCGGAGGGGGAGAGGGCTGCGGAGCGCTGGCCGGAGTCCACGCGTGGGAGGAACCAGAATCGCCCCGCTCCGCCGGTCGCTTTTGGAGGCTTTGGGGGAGTGGGGGATACAGAATGAACGGGGACCCCCAAGGTGGGGGTCGCTGCTCTGGCACCCCGGCCGTGAGCTCTGCTGCCTCGCCCCCCGCGGGGATGGATGGGGGGCACAGCGAGGGTCCCGTTGCCCCGCCCGTGCCTGGCCCCCAGCGCAGCGCTGTCCCCGCATCACAGCGGACCCCCGCCCGTACCGCACCGATGCGGGACCCCCGCCCGGACCCCCCGACCCTGCCCACACCCACCGGGGGGCGCAGCCCCGGCTCCGCACGCGCATGCGTTGTCTCCCCCCACCCCCCCAAACGCCACGCGCGCCCCCCCCTTCCCCGTCCGCGCGCGG